TTTGAATTTTTTTTCAAGCACACTCTGTTGTTACATATCTCTCTCTGTATGTCTCATTTGTTCGCGTGCAAAATGTTGCGTTTTTCTGACACCTTTCTTTGTTCGGTTGGCATTTATACAAGCCGCCGAGCAACAACAAAAAAAAACTGACCTGACTTTCAAATCTCATTTAAGCATTAAATCACTTTAAATTGATGCATTTATGAAATGTCAGCCAGTTCAACGATCAAAAAACGCGCACACGAGCAACAGAGATAGGAGGTAAAAATCGCACATACATAATTGCGTTCAATCAAAAAATAATGGTTGATGGATGCTGATTCGATCGGTAATTGACAATTATGAATATAAATTGTAATTGGGGTATCATAAAAGCAAACCAAATGTGCAAAAAAAGAGTAATCATAATTTGTTATGGATCCCACATACACAGCGTTTATGTAAATCTTACATAATTTCGATCAACGACACCGCTTAAAATAGAATGGATTTTTTTTTGTATTGTGCTGTCGAACGCGAGCACCTCAAGAGCAATATCGATAATCTTTTTTAGCTGTTGTTTCGTTTTGTGATTCAAGCGCAAATCCATTGTGATTCATGAAATCGATGCCATTTTCAAGCGGCGAAACTATTTCGGATGAATAATTTGTGATCGTCTTGTCTGAGTAATGAACGCTGGATTTTTCTTTATTAGCCATTTCGTCATTGAATCTTTAGCATTGGCAAATAATTTATATGCGATGCAGCTTAATTAATGGGAAGCAACGAAGTCATTTAAAAAAAAAAAAGTCAATTTCAAATGGTGACGCAGAACAACAAAAAAGAACAACAAATCGACGACAACCACAATATATGATACCCTTGTGATTCATCACGCAAGCGGACATATTATTTACATACGGAATTTTAAATTTGGATACTCATCATTATTCACAATTTTTCAACAACGAAATTCCATGAAAAATTTCATCGAGATAATCTATCTGGCAAAATATTTGTGAGTATTAAGCGGCTCAATTTGCATGTTTTCTTTTTTTTTATTATGCAGCATGAATATTGTATTACTACTACATGTAAATGAGGTTTGCGCCAGTTCACTAACCGGCTGTCAGTACATGTAATTGGACCACTTTTTCTCTCACTTAATTTAACACTTCCGAATACTTTTAGTGTAAAACAAATAAAAATGCATTGCGCCCGTGAGAAATGCATGTAAATAGCTAATAAAAGTTTTCACTTTCTTCCAAAAGTGAATGTATGTACGACTGTTAAGGCGGTTTTCATCTGACAGCTACAACGGCATCTTCGTCGTTTGCTCTTTCTCTTATGTGCGAAAGATACACACACACACATAAAAAACTCCAAGAAAAAAGCCGTTGGAATTTGTACATTAAATGTCAACGTGAAGTCTTCTTCTTCTTATTCGTTTTTGTTTTTTCGCTAATAAATGAAATCGTATAATTCATGTTCATTCGAATCGAAAGAGCAAATGGTAAAAAATGGTATGTTGTTGTTTTTTTATGTTCTTGAAAGCGAATAAATAATTAATGTTCGTTGTAGCATTATATTTGAATTTGGTACATTGAACGATGAAAAACCAGTTATTGTCGAGAAGATAACCGTTTTCATTTCTCTTTCGTTTGATTATTCATATTATCGTTCAGTTTACTTGGTACTTTTAATGTGCCTATTAATTTCAGTTTGTAGACAATAACTTTCTTTGAGATGTTAAAAGTATGGTATTAAAATGAGAAATGCACGCAAAGCGGCCGAGCAAGGTGTTTTTGTAAATACGTATGCCGTGAGCTACTGTTTGATGATGGTAATGCTTTGTTTCTATTTTTTGCTTTTTTTTGCTGAATAATAGCAATTCTGGGTCAATTTTTCATTGTTTTCATATACGTCTCGGGTGTACTCTATGAAAATGTTAAAGAACCTTAGACAATTTAACGATGGGTTCAAAACAATAGCGTGAGTTTTTTTTCTTCATGCTTTTGCGTTGGATGCGTGTCATTTGCTTCATGAACATGGTTTAGGCGATTCCCATTCATCATTGCTATGTTTTAATATGACTAAGACTGGATAGCCTTGCGTTTGATGAAACATACTCACACAATTTTGCCAACCATGTTCTTCAAAAACGAAAGCGCTACACAACTTCTTTTCTTTTCGTTTTCCATTCATTCATTGAGAAAAAAAAAACAATGTTCTTGCACACTTGTTCACTTAAGATCCCATTTCGTTGGAATTACTTTAAACGGCAAAAAATGCGATTACGAAATTTCAAGAGTAAACAAAGTGTATCTTTAATCTCTTTGCCATTACATCTGTCTGTTAGATAATAATTTAAGATATAGTTTTTAATATTATAATCTATGATGTTTGTAATTACATCAAATATGATGTGAATATAACAGAAATCTTGCTCGGTTCGGGTTCTCACAAATTAAAACACGTACAATGAATTTATGATTTGTGTGAATCTCTCTCTCTCTCTATATCTCCCTCTCTTTGACGGTGTCTGTGGAAATATTTCATCGATTTGGATGCGATAGAGAGAAATATTTTTTGTTTCTTGCAAAAGAAGTCTTCGAAGCAATTGTGAAAGATGCAAATGGTATATGAATAAATCAAAAATTGCGAAAGAACATGAGCAAACACTCTACACTCATTTGTGGAGTCGCATCTTGAATTGCACGTCGTATAAATATACAATAATTAAGTAAGTGTGCTCAGGCAGATTATTTCATGCAGAAAGCATAACAAGCACCCATTGACAACAAACAACTGAACGATACATAAATTGAACAATGGCATTTTATATGAGTAAACAAAATATGTATGCCTTTCAATGTATCACAAAATAACGGATTCACAGCGCGAAAAATGTGTGTGAGTGTGTGTTTGCCTGTGCGCGTTGTTATTTTAACAAGACTGAAGAGAATAAAGAAAAATTCATACTTAATTTGAATTTGTGTTTTTTTCGCTATTATTTCTTAAAGACAGCGCGACGACGTGGACGAGTTCGATAGAGAGTGTCGAAGAGTAAATGCATAACGAAATAATGGCTGGTTTTGCTTCTGCGAATTTAATAGAAATAATAATAAGTGTGGCATACACATACAAGCGCGCGTACAAACATATCAAAATCGTTAAGCCTGTTATTTATATTAGAATGATTTCAACGCGCTTTATTTCGATTTTTATGAGTGTCTTGTGTATTTTTCTGTCTTCGATTGTGGCAAATGGTTAACTGTAGTTGACTCTCCCACAACAAACTGTGCTTTATTGTCGATCATATCGACGGTTTGATACGCACACACACACACCAGTCAATGTGTGCTTGTACCACCAATGATTGTATGACGATACAAGAATTGCGTGAGCTTCATGCAAACGTCTTATACATACTAATTGACTCGAGTCAATTTCTACATACCAAAAATTAAATGAAACAACAACAACAACGAAAATGATTTCATTGCTTAATGTGTGCGCTTGTGGCTTTTACGTGAATTAAGCCGTTACTTCACATACAATAAACACATAGAATGCAAGTGCCAGTCGAAATAACTTTCATTGCATTTTTTTCTGTTGTTGTTGTTGTTGTTCCATTCCATGGATTTATTGAATCAAATTTTGATTCGTGTAGTTTTTTTTCCACTTCATTCGATGTATAATAACCAGATTGAAATTTCGATAGCCGATCGGGGCAATTGGCTTGAAGTAATTTTGCAAGCAATTACATGGAGTGTGGTAAGTATTCGATGTTTGGTGCTGTGTTGATTATATAGACAACATCGAAAAAACTTTTTGATTGATTTCAAAGTGCTCAAGAATGCGTCTATATATGACATATCGGGCAGCACAAGATCGTGCACAATTTGCTTAAAACTGTGTAAATAATTAACGCTCTATTTGATAGGTTGCAGACGTTTTTTTTTTTTTTGAAAGCGGTCAAACACCAATGGAATACCAAAAATCTACATAAATTTATTTTTACATAATGAATAGAGAGTTTGAAGTTTAAAAAAACCTTTAACATTTTCGCTCAAGAAAAGAGAAAAAAATCGTCACGCTGAATCTGAAAAGAGTTGGTTGACAAAAGAATTGAACCGTATTGATTGGCGAAAAAAATTGCCGAACAAAAAGTGTTATTTAATTATAAATATTGTCGTTATTTATGATGAACCGTAATGGAATGATCCTTGTATATAGCACTAAAAAAGCCGAAAAACTGATAAAATAATTTATCGCCAGAAAACTGGCAACCATTACAATGCATTGGAATAATCGGTTTGCATTACGGATGCAAGAGATGGAGAGTTAATAAGACGAAAGACATCACACTCTTTCGTGCACGTAGGCACGCAGAAATTTCATACACACGTTACATTGCAGGTGATCAAGGCAAAAACCCCGACGAAATACCAAACGGATGAGAATACCAAGAGGAAAAAAAACCACTTCAAAGACACATATCAGCCGTTCAATGACGATGACGACGAAAACAACAACAACAACAACAAGTACAGCACTAAATAAACTTTCACACTGAAATTTTCACATTGAATTTCTTCTCTTCTTTTTTTTTTACTCTTTTTGTCTGTGTGTTTTCATTCATCGCAGTTTGTTAGATTGATGTTATGTTTTTCTCTTTTTCTTTCTTTTTCTATTTCGGTCTTTCATTTTATGCTGTTAATTTCATTTTTATTAACACACTTTATTCCATTTGTTGTGTTTCTCTCGCTCTTTCGCTCTGTGTGTGTCTACTTATTAGGCAATTTGAATTAATTTGCAATGTATGGATTTTGATTTTTTTTATATATCTTCGTCGAAAGATTCGCTTATCATTTCATTTCGATCATTTTGTTAATTTCGATTTCACTTGCAGCACAACGTACATTATATATATTTTCTTTTGTTAAAATTTCAAAACAAAACGAAACGAATTGAAAATTGAACAAAATTGAAATTATTACTATTTTTGTTGAACGTACAATTCTCAAACTTCCGATCTTATCAATAACACATTCATTGGAGCCCAACAACAAAGGTGGCCAAAGCAATTGCAATTGCAAATCGATTTACTTTCGTTCAAACAAAAAATAAAAATCACTTCAACTGCTTGTGGATGGAAAAATTGAACGGATTTCAACATACACGACACAATGAACAAATAATAAAACTATACGGATACGAAAGTGAAACACTCGAAATTCAATTCCAGTCACTCGAGAAAGAGACTGAATCACACAAAAATAGTGAGTTCAAGTAGGAGTGAGGAACGTGGTAAAACTTGCGCGAAACACTTCACTAAGACGAGAGAGCACGTCTGCTTGGAGGTTCGTAACTTTTACAACTAAACAAGTCTTTTTTGTATTTTGGCACAGACAGCAACGATCGAAACGGTGAACGGTCGTCATTTCGAATGGGGCAGCCAACGTGTGATCACACACACACACGCTCGCACACACATAGCGCGCGATTCACTTGCATTCACATTGGCAACAATCGATCAAGACCGCACGCAACTGTATTGGTGTGATGGAGCGTATCTGCACAAAGCATACCGAAAACCATACACTCGCTCAAGAGTGCACAATTAAAACGCCAACCTAAGAAAGCATGCAAACGACGTGGAGAGAAGAAAAAAAGGTCGACAACGAGCGCACACCAACCAAACCATACCAATGAAATGTGCAATTGCCTCTGTTCATTTTGTAAATAAACAAGTCACTTATTGTGCTCGCAATACGTGAGTGTGTGTGTTGTGAATGTATTGTGAATGGAAAAGCAGCAGCAAAAAGAAAACATCGTAAGGCGAATGTCTTGAAGACAAGCACACTGTTTAAAGCCATTTCGTTTGTGTACGCGGCGTTTCGCATATTGTTTACGGCAAGTGTACACAAATCAATAGAAGGTGATCCAAAAGTACCACCCGATACTGTACACTTTTTGTGTGAGGTTCGTTATTTTTTTATTGGCTTCCTTTCACACAAGATTTTCTGCTGCAATTTTGAAACATTTGTTTTTTATCATTTTCATCATGATATACAGTAAAAACAGTTTAACTTTTTGAATTGGTGCATTGTATTTATTACGCAAATTTTCCTCATAGCATCATAATGCTATTCTTAAACAAAAAGAAAAAAAACATGCTGCGAGAATGTATGTATTGGGGGAGATACGCGGTCAACACAATATTTTTTTGATGATTCTGGATAGAATGGCAGATCTGGCTGAAAAATTACCACATTTTCCCACCGGTCATATTTTGTACCATTGTCGCTGGAATTGTTGGCATTGCATTGTTGTTCTCTCTCTTTCAGTACGTACCGCGACTTGATTATTCCATGGATTATTATTTTGAGTCAAAAACACTCAATTAAACTTCACTTAACCAAGATACTGCCATTTGTACAGTGCCGAAATTATAGAGTTACCGAAAATAATTAGATGCACATGTATGCGACGCCCTCAAGCTTTAAATGCAACAACATTGTAGCCGACTACAATATGCATAATGAATTTTTTTTTCTTGAATAAATTGATAAATGCTTCGTGTGTTTTTTTAGCATGTGGAAACTGCATAAAGGTTATGTGCATATAAAATGCTGTCATCTCCAGAAATTCCAACTTGCCCACATCAAAATCACCGCTCGAAGACGTAATTGTGATAAAATTACCGTAAATCAATTGTTGTACGCATAATACACTAGAATACGATGAAATTGAATGATATTCAAATAAATCAATCAGTTTTTTTAACTAGGTAAATTTTATTCAGTTGATATTTTTTTACATTCGGTTCCAAAAAAAAGTAATGCAGAACTATCAACGATTTTCATTACGATTTTTCTATTCAAGAAGTGTAAGATTTATAAAATATAGATTGGTAAGGAAAATAATCTAAGGATCAAACATACTCTGCCGTATTTAAAAAAGAAAGAATTAAATAAATTCATTTTTACACATGAGATTAAAATGATATCATTAAAGGACGAAATCATTTTGTAAATCAAGAAATCAATGAAGGCTCATCACATTCAAAATCAAGTCCTTTCGAATTCTATAATGTTTACTTTTTCAATATGTTCAATCTATTGAAATTTGTGTTTGTGTATTCGGTCTAAGTTAATTTGGTTTTTTTTTTCTTCAAATTGTTTTGTGATATCCAATTGTTTCGAAATGTTGAGTGTGATTTCTTTTTTTGGATGAACAATGAAGAAATTCTATAATTTCATATAACATAGTCGATGCTAGATTATTTCTCAAAGCAAAACAATTGATTTGTTGTTCGGTGAGATTTAGTTTCGATTCAGCCACATGATGGCTTTGAAGCAAAAGTAAGCTAATCCAAGCAAATAGACCACCTTTTCGCGCTGTTGTCGTTGCAAATTTTCAATTTCAATGGAAAGCACCCGTCGATTCAATCGGGATACTTGACGCCGTAGATGTGTGACTTCTTCACTTGGTGTGGCATGTTCTCCATATGGTGGTGTAGCCTCACGACTAAATAAAAATCGAAAATTGTAATAAATATATAAACATTTCAATACGATTAACGCGTTAATGAAATTACCTTGTATTGAAAAAATCATTTGAAAACAATTTCTTTGGTTTGCTAACAGCCAAATGTCTGTCATCGTTTGAGCCCAATGAGCTGTATTCGTTTTCGTGACCGTTGACTTGCTCTGCATCGGGTGTGTACTGATCATCAGCAACTGTTGGGAATCGATGTTCAGACAATGTAATCACACGAGGTGGTGTGGAAACACGCACTGGATGATCATCATGCGGTTGTAAAATCGTATTGTCTAACATTATTTCACGTGGTGCTGTGCGCGTACCTATAACAACGTACACACCATAAAATGCCATCACTTGCATTGTTTTGTTAAATGTTTTCTTTTTTCTTCTTACCTAAATGTTGCTCTTGTCCAATAACCATAATTCGATCGGGTACTGTCATGTCGATTTTATCATGGTAAGCCCAATGCGATGTGCCATTCCCCATTGGAATATCGAAATCATCGGAAAATTCTCCAGTGGCTCTGATGCGTTTCGGTACTCGCATCTGTTCGCTGATATCTTGTGTGTAATGACTTTTTTGAAAAATTGGATCTTCTTCATAGCCATTGATAAACGACGATGGACTGCCCGGTACTGCCATTTGGAATATTTAACAAATGATTGCGTTTTTAATTGAAAAATAAAACCAAATCACCACCAAAAAATGTGTCAATTCACGCAATCTTTGTGAAACACCACCAAAAAAATGTTTTTCTTTTTGAATGTCAAAAATTCACAAAGACTATTGTCTATCAATACTGAGCCAACGCCATTTTAGACTATTTGACAATGTCATGCAATTGTGTTTGAAAGTGGTCCGATTCGTATTCGTTACACCAGACTAGGTGATATGAAGAAAATGCTACATTTTTACCGATTTTTCAATAAAAAAAATTTTGATTAAAAAATTCCAACAAAGAATAAAATTAAAAATGTATTTTTTTTCTTTTTAATTAAAATCGAGACAAAATTTCAATTTGGAATGTATAATTTGAATTGTGTGTGGTGTGTAATGTGACCAACTTCACTGCAATCACAATGCTTCGGAATGAAATTTGTGTGAGGCCACCACATTGACGATATTTGACATATTCTTCTATACTACACAAACTTATAGCCCATTGGCATTCGCTTATATTGCACTAATATTTATATTTATCGCAAGACAAACAGTCCAAAATATATAGTGCGTGGTGGGTTTTTGTTTTAAATTTTAATAACAAAAAGAAATGGCTCGAGTTCTCTCACAAAAGCGTAATCATTTCGACTTTAATAATTATACATTTATCAACTTATGAATATATTTCAAATGTTCATAGGCATGCATCGTTTACTTGGAATACACTTCCAATGCGATTTGACGTTTAGCATGGAGAATTTTTGTGGAGATAAATGTCAATGTCAAAGTATATATTTATTCTCTGTTTGAAAACATAACCAATATGTTATTTATTTATTTTTTTACTCAGTTCCAAAATTAACATAAATACACTTTGAATTTATTATACTTTGGTTACCATTTGTAGTGTCGGCTATAAATTGAACAATAAAACGATGTTATGCAAATTGATTTTGGATAATCGACAAATTTTTAAGCAATTCTACCTGCACCGTGCATATTGTACACGAAATGATGCTATTGAAACTGTTTTGCGATCCGAGTTTTGTAAGTTAGTAAAATAAAACTGATAAGATTCGTTATTATTAATATTTATATTTTAGTAGGTTTTACGAGACTCAAAGCGTCAACATTTCTCAATAAGAATGAATTTTTGCTCGAATGTCAACCAGACGAGATGAAAAAAACATTAAAACAGCTCAAACGATTAAAGTTTCATATCAACGACATTGGAATGCATCCGAAAGTTTTGTTACAGACCGAATATGAATTGTTGAATAATTTTCAGCGTCTTAAAGAAGTCGGTTTCACCGAAGTGACCACCTATCGTTTAGCCTATATCAAGAGAATAATGTTAAAATCTGTGCGTTTTAATCAATGCTTTAATTTTCTACCGAAAAACATAGATATTATTAAGAACATATTTGCCAGTGCAAATGTGCCGCTGGTTAACGATATTGGGTACGCAGATCAAATGTCATTGGAAGCAGTTCATCGAGTGGCACTTCGTAATTATATGATGAACCAAATCAAATACACAGATGCAGAAATTGATAAAGTATGGACCAATTGGGCAAGTTTGAAAAAACGATCATTGCAAAGTATTGCCCAAACGGTAGAATTGCTAGAGAAAACATATCAAGTGCCTATGAAACAATTACCAAATCACATGTTGCTTCTACAACCAGAAGATATTCAAGAAATGGTGCACACAGACAGACTGAACGGTTATGATGTTAAATATATGATGAGAAATGTAAAGAGATGCAATTTAGAGCATTTGAAAAAAATACAAACTACATGCTATTCCTACAACATTAGTGACGGTGCACTTAAATTTACACCGAAACTATTCCAAATGAACGTTGATGTACTGATTGAACGGGCAGAACAAATTGCCAAAATGAAACGTGGAACCGAATTCTTGGAACATGTTGGCATTGGTAGACTGATTGTGGGCATGGGACGCCTTCAGCAATACGCCATTTCGAAGGACATTCTTTTCGAAAACATTTTAACTGATGACTTTATTGAGTAAGTTCATTTCTCAGATAAAATTTTCGAAATTCATAAAAAAATGTTTCAAGTTTCAACTCCTTTCAATCAATAGTTTCTTTTTGAATGGATATTTGATGAAAAGAAATAATCCAGCGATATTCTATCTGAGTGATGAGTTGGGAAAAGAGGTTGACGACATTCAAAAAGCTCTCCGGGTGCATCCGCATTGGAACAGTTCTACATACCGTACTGTTAGTGCCAATTTAAAGTATTTATTGTGTCAAGGTTTTACACGTGAAGATATATTCAACGATCTGCCCATCGTCCTTTATTCATTGTAAGTTTGTCATCGTCAGCCATATCAATTTCTTCTAGATAATTTGTTCCCCCGTTGACATTTATAATTGTGAGTTTTCTTTCTACCTTTCAGAGTTGAAATTAAAGATGTGTTCAACCGACTGAGTGACCCAGAGGAAATGAAAAAATTACAAATTGTGCCCGATGAATTGTCGAAATCACAAATTTTGCAATTGTGCATCTATTTCATTGAGCAGAAATGTAATTTTAATTATGAAGGCATGTTTTTGAACTCAGACGCCACACAATTCCAAGACGATGAAAGTATCCGATTTGAAGAAATAATCAAGGCAACATATTTACAATAATCATAAAATGTACATAATATATAATATTTTAAAAGAAAAATATAAATGTGAATGAGGAAAAAAAACATCGATCTATTTACATGAATTCGTTGATCTGATTTGTCCTAGAAAAATTCAAAATTGCACCAAATGCTCTCAAAATCATCTAAGCATAAATGCTCTTCAAATGTACAAAACTTAAATTTAGAATTCGATTCACTTATATCTAAGGTTTGTTGTTATTGTTGTTTTTTGTAATTTTTTTGCTTTTAAATTACTCCTTGGAACTGTCAACAAACAAAAAAAGAAACTAAACTAAAATGCTTAGTCAATAAATCTTATTGATGTAAAAAGAAGGCACATTCGGAATGCATTTGAATAGATTAATACACATAGGTAGGCTATCGAATAAAAAGAGCTTAATTCTAAACAAATTGAAAACAATACCGATACAATGAATGATACTAAACTCACATAGAATACTATTTTGGCAAGACGTCTTTGGATTTCGTTGTAAACAAAAAAAAAAAACTTAAAATTACAGACCAACCACACTGAGCCTACTAATTTCTCAGCAGTCAGTATGATAATCGACTCAGTTCGATCACCTATAACAATGCCGAAACAACTAACACTAACGGACACATGTAAAATGCTATGTTCACGCACAAGAATAAAAATCAAAAAAACTTTAAAGAAAACTTCATATGGAATAAAATGAAAGTTGTTGATTTTCTACTATCTAAACTAACTTAAACTGAACTGAATGGCATCTTCCATTAGTATTCGATAAAAAGAAGAGACTCTATAGTTCATCGCTCATCCGTTTATTGGAGCGAGAGTAATGTGGATGGTGTGGTGTATTTGTGCCCGATTTGATTCCTTACTCGTTTTCTCATACGAATATACTTTATACATTATGGCACATTGATGATGCCGCGTTGTTCCGAGTTCAGTTATCGTTTTAATGTAAAAAAGGAGGCAAAACGTAGCTGTGCTGTGCAACGTTACCATCTTCAGATTTAATGATAGTAGTCATATTATTGTCGGTAACATCGTCCGCATGACAGCCGCCAACTGTGGTTAAATTGCTCGTTGTTGTCGTTGCATACTGCTGTGCTGATGGTGGTGGCGGCGGTGGTAATGTTTTTATCGAATGATCATCAATGTGACAATTTGTGTATTTCGATTCAACATTATGCATATTACTGTACTTTATCTCGTCCATGTATTTTCCATTCGACATTCTATTGTGAACGAAAGAAAAAATAAATTTGTATTCTCTCCCTCTACAATAAGAATGTAGAAAACTATTATCGAAAAAATTTTCGTCAATTTTTTGGTTTGAAAATACTTACGTTTCGGTGCATGGATTGTCATATTTATCATCCATAGCGGTTGTGTAATGGTCGGTTTTATCGTCAATTTCTCCGGCGACACGCGGTGGACTACCATAGTCATAGTGTTGGCGCACGGGATACAATTGATTTTCGTGCACATAAGCAGTACCGTATTGTCCAGAAAATGAGCCATATGGGCTGGCTGTTGGCGACAATAGGCTGAAATGTGGACTCAATTCGTATGGTGATTGATAGCTAGTCCAACTATCCACGCTGCCCGGTGGGGTGACTGTTGCATTTTGTTGAAATGGAGCAAATGGTGGGCCCAATGGTGTACCGAGCGTCGACGGACTATTCGTATTTATGTATCCATTTTTACGGGGTGGTTCACGCTTACGCCATTTTGCGCGACGATTCTATGTGCGAAGAGGGGGTAGGGGGTGAAATTGAATATTTTTTATTTTATTTCCATGAATTATGTCGAGACAGTCGAAGAAAAGAACCGTATCATTTGATATTAAACGATGAAATACAATAAATATTTGAAAAATAGAAAAAAAACTGCACATAAAAAAATTGACGTTGTGGACGTACCTGAAACCAAACTTGAACACGTGATTCACTCAAATGGAGTTTGAGTGCGAGCTCTTCGCGTGCAAAAACATCGGGATATGGTGCACGTTCAAACGCACGTTCCAGTTCCTCCAACTGAAAGGCTGTAAACGTTGTTCTAATAAAAAAAGAGCGAGAAAAGGACATTGAGCTCTCGAATATCTAAAGAGAATTTTCTTGTTTTTATTTTAATCGCCTTTTTTATTTGACATCATACCTTGTTTTCTTCTTTTTAACGCCATTGATATCGCCTTTCTTTTTATCGTTCTTTTTTGATGTGCTCGATGCATCGGATTGGCTTACTGATTGGTTGTCTGATTGATCGCATTGGCCGTCGGATTTCTTTTTATCGTTCATCGACGGCGATGCGAGCGGCTGCGACGTCGAAATGTGATGCGTTGAAGTTGGCGGCGGTGGATGTTGTTGCTGCTGTGCGGATACAGGTGACTGTTGATACATTTGCATATGCGGATCGTATTCCAATTTTCCACTTCCATAATCCATTTTCGCATTTAAATTGTAATCCATGGTTTTTGCGTATTCAATTTTATTCATGTGATTTGGTGAATATGGATCCATTTTACCGTTGACATAGTCATATTTTGGCGGTGGTGTCGGTGAATACGATGACACTTTTGCATTGTAATCAATTTTATTGCCCATGTAATCGAGCGTTTTATAATGCGTTAACTTTGGCGAGCCGGGCAAAAGACTTTGCACTTCGGGCAATCGCTGATTGCACATATCAGATGATCCATTTGCATTTATACCGAGCATCACATGAATACTATGACCACCTTGTGTTATTTGCTTTGCACCGAGCGGACTTAATGGACCAGAAAAATCGTTAAATATTTGATCATCGAATGAAGATGTTTCCATTTTATAAATGGATGAAAAGTATTTCACGTAATTTGACGTTGCTTTTGTTTGTCTTTGTTTATTTTCTTCGATTTTTTGAAAAGGCACTTGAAATTTTCCGATTTCGAGGAATTGGCACAGCGACGGAAAATTATGCAAACATTTTTCTTTCTGTATAAATTAAATATTTACTTTGTTTATTTACACCGTGTGATTAAAAAAAGTTTTATCAAATTTCCTTAAATTGAAAATAGTTAAAATCTTTGTTTTATTTATCACTGTCAAAATTCAAAATTTCAACGATAAAAATTGAAAATTTATTCACACTTTAGTTAAACTTTGGCAACAATTTATTCTTTGGCAAAATATTTAATTCAACGAAAAACAAAACTAATAACTTCAACTAAATTGTAATTTGTGTGAAATGAATTTCACAAATTTTCAGAAGAATCAAGTTGAATTTGAATTCTCGACGAATGAAATTAAAAGCAGGACTTTCTTTTTGCTCGCATTCCGAGCGAGAATCGAAATGAGAATGATGATAATATCATAACGGTTCGTCAATTTATACCCAATTAAGAAGATCGTTTAAACTCCGCCCCAGTTAGCCAATGGAAGAGCACATGTTATACACAAATGGGACTCAGTCGTCGGCAATAATAATCACGATATAGTTTTCGCCCTAAAATTCTTGTCAATTGTTTATGTGTTTCTCTTGTGTTCTTTTTTGTTGTTGTTGTTGTTGTTGTTTTGTGTTTTGATGCCCGCTTATCGCTCTCTGTCTCTCGATATGTATTCACTCATTTCTCTGTCGATGTTACGTTCTCACGAAGACCATATTGTTCGATGATACATTTTATTGCGTTTCGGCTGACTCCTGTAAATGGTGCATGACAGCATGACAGCAGTAGTAGTGAGTGTATTTTGTGCTATGCTTTACACAGAGAATAGAATCTAGTGGCTTAGTGCATGACATTTTTTTTGAAAGAAGAAGAGGAAGAAGAGAAAAACCGAATTATGCTGGCTCCTCCTGCCATTGCGCATACGAACCATTCACAATGCCTACACACATTATATCGATGCGATATGCGTCTATGACTTTATGACTGAGCTTCGGATTCGTGTGAATTTCGGTGGCCGTATTTTTCTTCTATTCCGTACGGGATGCCACCGATTCAAATGTGCGCATGTAACTTAACATCTTTTTTTTCTACTCTCTTTTTGCCATCAATTTTAATATTATATCGCCTTTTGCTTGCTACAACATACTCGATAATGTTTGAGTTCATATAGGGGTCACGTGTAAGGTTCATTCTCATATGATTGTCGAGTTTTTCATTAAATTCACACTCACTCCGCGCGCACGCTTACAATTTCCATATCGAGTCAAAAGTTCAGGCAACAAAAAAAACATGATCGAAGGGGAGAATTAAATGCGTGTGTATGTACAATATATATTTTGTTTAATGAATTGTTTGTTCGAAGAGAATATTCTTCGGTTTTTTAGTGGCGATTGGCAAGAGTGGGCTTCGGATCGAGTGTGGGATCTCGAAAATGAGCAATTCGAAATGTCGTAAAATGTATGAATAACTGCAGAATGGTCGGTCGGTTTTTTGTGTTTTGTTTGGCGTAATACGGGTATGGTGAATCAACGACATGCATGAAAGAGAGAAATCTTGAGAAATATTGTTGATCGCGTTGCTTCTGAGAAGAATATATGCACAAATTTAATGGAAATGATATACGGAGAGATAGATAGATCTATTTCACTCTCTATTTTGTGTGTTGAAGATGAAAATTATGTTCGTTACTAGAACGAAAAATGTGCGTATCATTTGAAAGCGTCAATTTATCTTCATTGATGCGCAAAACACTTTTTAAAGTTGTCAGCAATTTGGGAGACGTGAAGTTGGCAACCTTTTATCTACCCGTGTCGATCACATGTACTCACGCCCAAAGAGCACTGGTGTCGAAATAGTTCAAGTATGAATTTATTTAATAAATAAAATACCTCATCCTTCGGCCTCAGCGCTCGAAGCACTGTTGTACAAAGAAATCGAGTTAATCGTGTTAAAAAAAATTAATTAATATCGTTGATCAGCGTCAGAATGCCCATAAATCAAAGAAATCTATAAAAATCAACGATAGCACAAGCGTACATTCCAATCTATGCGCTACAAATTGACAATTATTTGTTGTTATTTTCCGATTCAATTCATCATGTTGTATGCATATAAAACTAAATGTTAATTAATCAATCTAATAAAAATTGGTCCGTAGCAAATTGATTTGAAAGCATTTGCAGCGATTTCGGATGATTCATTGATTCATCACACCGAAAAGAGCTATACCACACATTCAATTGATGGTTAAAATTGAAGCGCCAAAACAATAAATGCATTATGCAAAATATGGCAAAATTGTGTCACACATATGTACACGATTCTCTCTCTCTCTTTCTTTTCATTTTGTTTATATATTCTACGATTATGGATGACAGAAATTAAATTTCACTTTTAAATTTAAAATAATTTAAAGCAATAATATTAATAATCGCAGCGTTTTCTATAGTTTTGAAAAAGCACAACACAAAAAAAAAGAGGCAAACTTAACGAACTTCTAACAAACTACTAATTTAGTTTAATATAAACCAATGGACTCGAAGTAATCAAATCCAATCAACTACATATATTGCATATATGGTCAGTGGACACCGATTGCATTTTGTTACAATTTGTTGGTTCTCACGAAAATTTCGTGGCCGACCAACTAAATTCGTTTAACTTTGGTTTGGAAATGAAAAAGGCTTACATAATACGTTGCGCCGAAGAATCAACATTTTTATTGATCGTTTCTGTATTATTTAATGCTCCACAATTGAATGCGAGAGAGGGAGAGAGAGAGAGAGGGAGAGAGAGAAGGAGGAAATAAATCGGAAACAAATCCGTTTCATTAGATTAATGATGATGATGTTCAATTGGAAATCGTTTTGCCGATGTGAATAATATTGAACTTGACCGTGAATGATCATTTCGTTCGATGGTATTTATAGTAATAACAATGCGAACAAATGATTTTTATCACCATTTGACAAGTGCAATGAGTGTCAAAATATTAACAAAAATCAATTGAATGGCAGCATGCCCCAATTATCCACAATTTTATTTCGTGTTTACATTCCTGTAGCTAATATGATCCTCTTCAGCTAGCTCGTTTTCACTCTCATTTACTCATCATTGCCTCAATTTAATTCATCAAAAAAAAATATGTTTTATTGAAAATGCCATATTCTCATTGAATGGGCTACAACCCTCAATCGACAGTTTTGCAATTGTAAGTATAATCAGTCACTCTCCCGACCATAAAACACTGTTCAATAAACATTAATTGAAATTATAATCAGTATAAGTTCCATAATCTGATTTAATAACAAAAATTAAATTATATTAACATTAATTAGTATTGTTTTGTGGTGCAAGCACTATATCGTATTTGGCTACTGTTATGGATGATGTTTCTCTGTGTGTGCAACGCCATATAGATTTAAACAAAACAAAACACAAAAAACTAACTAAAAGAGATAGACACATTGGTGATGATGATTTTGTGTGTACACGATTGATATCAATATCCGAGCAAATCGACAGTCGGCAATGAAAATGAAACTGTGAAATTAAATTGGGCTTGAGAGAATGATTGTCGTTGCTTGTCTGCCTCATTGGTGCTGGTCGAACAAACGATAGAGACATCAAACGCCACATTCATATTACTCTAATTGCTAAACTGTTGAACCAATTACTCGAAATTGTATTTGGTTTGATTTGGACGGCGACGGCAGCGAAGGCGCATTATACTTCGTCATTTTTCAACTTGGATGCTCTTGCACAATGTGTTAATTGATTATTTTTTTTTGTGTCGATTAAAATGTTTCCATGTCATCAATTAAGTGTCATCAAAACACTTCAATTCGAAATTGGTATTAATTCCTCTCGCCTTCTTGGTTTGTGCATGGTTCTCTCTTTTTTTTGTTTCACCCTTACGGTGCGCGCTCTGATTTCAATGTTCGATTTAATGTTAATTGATGTTATTTCATGAGAGGATTTGTGAAAGTCGATAGCATGTTTAGTGCATACCATTTTTATTAAATGGCTCACTCAATGTGCATTGTGAAATGCTATCGAATCAGGTGGGATTTATATTAGTTGTTATTGTGTTTGCAGTATTGTTTTTAGCAGAGATTTAAATGAAATGATAATAAATTTCAGCGATACAAAGTTTATTACATTCCATTTTATCATCGTTATTTATAGGTTTTCAAATGCATGGAAAATTAATATATAATATAGACAATTCAGTCTCGCGTTTTTATGTTCAACAAACAAAAACTCTTCGAAAACACAATTTTATTTCAATTAAGCAGCTTGTTGTTCCGAATTAAATAATAGATGACGCATATGTCGGTATCGCTTAACGTTCATTGTCCCAGTTTTAAAGATTCCATCCACTTCAAAAACGTTATCTATGTGCACTGCAATATGTTGCATCAAAACCCGACTGACTGAATGAACAAAGTGTTTGAAATAGTACTCGAAAATCAAATGTGGCTCATCTGATAAAGTGCGTCATAATTCGAGAACCATGTTGGACATTTTCACATCAAATTGCGTCGAAAAATTTATTTCCATCAACTTTAATCAACGACATGTGTATAATTTGATAATGTTAATCAAATTGATATAATTTCGTATTTCATATCAAATATATTGCATTGCGTCTATTGACATAAATAGAATATTTTTCCATTGAAATGATTCGGTCGAAATATAAATTCAAATTGTGTACGGCTCGTTTTGATTAAATCACACACACCTACACATAAACAAATCTATCGCTCAAATGTCGTGAACCATTTTTTTCGATCAGGAAATTCACATGAAGCACCTGTGCAAGGTCAAACATTATTCAAATTCATTTGCAATGAATTCAAATTTGATTCAAAAATGAAATCGCAAATCCAATCGAATGTTAGTTAATAACATAATAAAGTTTCAACAACATTCTAGTGTATGTACAAAGTTGGATGTTATTCTCGGATGAGAGCGTCCACTTGAAAGTCAAATTGCCAGAGTTCGACTTACCTTTTGAAGTGCTCCAATCGAATATTACGAAATATCAAGAGATATACGGAAATATACGACGAATCAACAGTAATCCATTGCATTGAATGTTACTTTTTTTATGGTAAAATCAACATTAAATGAAAAAATCAATCAATTTGATGATATCACTGTTCGTCAACAGCGAACTTTATTTAAAAAAAAAACTTCATCATCACATGTGCGCACAACTATTTGCACCAATATGAAAAATTAAAATGTTAAAAAAATTCACATAATTGCGGTTTTATTTTATTTTCTTGTCTTTGGTTAAAAAAATGATAATAATAATTAGTTTGCCTGTTTGTATTCATACTCATTCGTTTAACATTCGTTCATCTCCTTAATAACTATAATTAATAATAGCATTTTAATTGTTGGTTTTATGTTAATACAATCAATAAATTAAATAATAATTCTAGGCTGTCATATTATACCTTCATATTACCTAAAAGTATTCGAATGAATTTTTTCAATTCGAATAAATCGATTTTATTTGCATAATTAATTAAATCACCGACATAATCCTTGATGCCATCCGATGCTGATGTGCTGATTTTGGTGCGAAATAATTGTGTGATTATTGTTAAAAATGGTCCAGACACTGTTCGCAATAAATTGCCACTGGTCAATTGAACGCGTATATGGCCGAGCGATAATATTTTCAAATCGTCCAAATTGAAATTGGTGTCGTTGAGTGCAATTGAAAAATCACCACCTAAAATTGTTTCAACGACCGTTCCATCAACAGTAATTGTTGGTCCCAAACCCATAACACCGGCCTTAACATCGTAGCTAAACTGTAATTTGGCAAATACACACATAAAAACGATCAGAAATTGTTTTTTTTTTTAAATTCTAAACTATGCTTAGATCAATCGTAAATTTCTTCCTCAAATGATTCAATACCATTACATTACCATTCAATTGTGCATAAGTTTTCTGCGCCATTAATTATTTGTTCGTAGAATTTTCGCTGGTGAATGCATTGAAATGCGTCAATGCGACCAATTTTACTGGAGGTATGTCTTGCGAATACTTGTTGAATTGAATGCGACCAAACTGGCTGGTTCGCCGCGGAGTAACAATCGTTTAATAAATTAACAAACGGTTGATATCGTGTAACAGTTATAAGCAACCGCATTGAGTGACTGCATGGCGGGCATTCGTATTTTCGAATTTATATTTTATTCACAAAGTGCTTATTGCTTTGTCTCGCATTCAATTCATAAAGCATCAGTTTTTGGCAAAATTGAATTTTGTTTTTGTTTTTGTTTTTGTTTTACCACACTGTATTTATACATGCGATTCACGCGCGCCCGAAAAATTTCCTAATGCATGTCATCTGGTTGAATGTGCATTTATTAGTAAGTCGATACTACAAATGCTTATTGGAACGTATAATTGCACTCTCTCTCTCTTTCTCTTTTACTTTCGTTCGCGTTCGTTTACGTCGCCAATTGCATTGCACACAAATCCAAAGCCAAACTATCGTTCAAATTGTTTGGTATGCGCTCACTTACTCCGGCGACCGTCTCTTACTCTCATTCAATTCAACATATGTTCGATTTATTGCTGAACATTTTCATTGAATAATGCAGTCGCGTGTGCGGTTTGTAATCACTTGCAACTGCAAACCCATAAAATTATTTACATATCTATGAATCTACATCGTGTCCCAATGCTCGAATGTGTTTTGTGCCATGCTGTACCCGCCAGCCATTTACGATTGCAGCGCATAGTTCACTTTAATTTGAATATAATTGCGTGTTGTTTTTTTTTTCGGAAAATATTGCCGCTTGAATGTTATTTTACGATAAAAGTGTCTGTAGAACTTTGAATTAAGCGCGTGTGAATCTCGTTGGAATTTCGTTTGTTTGTTTCTGGCTTGTTGACGACTATTATTTCAAGACATAAGTCATAAGACATCGACACATCGATCTATGCAAAAACAGCTGTAATAAGAGACCGAGAGTGGTGACGTTTTGAATCAAAATTGAAGAATGGTAATTTTTGCGTCTATCAACCGAATAAATGACTGACGGAATGAATGCCGAGAAAGACAAAAAAACTAAACTCACGATTAAAGAGATTAGGCAATTCTGTTTTTAAGTTGAAGGCTACCATCACTGTGCCATATCGAAAGTCTTGTGCTGCTGTGCACAGATCGAAAGAGAAGGAGCAACAGTGCTATTGCTACACATTTAGGTAGATGTGCCATGTTTGGCAGTTCGAACGAACATTAAACAGAAGACCAAACGAGAAAAAAAACCTGTGGCGCCGATATAAAATCACTTTTACCGGTATATTTTCGTTCTTCATTTTTAAATGTTGTTCGCATGGAATGCGACCCATTAAACCTTAATATTCGAAATTAGCACGTTAACAGTGGCAACTAAAATACAAACAATCGTTATCATGTGCCGCACTGTTAGCTTACCAAAGTGAAATGATCCAATCAAATTGTCAAATGATGAATTGTTTTTTTTCTCTGTCGGTGTTGAATGTATATGACAGTGACAATCACAAGAAAATTCCATTTAATGGGTCCTTGCATGGTGTTTTTTTCTTCTGTTTCGTCTATCTATTTCACAAAGCACAAGCCCAATTTGTCTAATGTTTCTTTTTTTATGTTATCGCTGATGAATTAATCAAACGCACGTTATATGTTGAAAATATGTATGACGCAAAAAAGTTGTCTATTTTATTTTAGTAAACATATTGTGAAATTATTAACTGTGCTTTTTGCTTATTTTTTATTGGATGCTGACACCATGCAGTGAGTAATTTGTTTCCTCGAAAATGGTCAATGGTGGTTTTCCCATACACTCAAAATCAATCGAATCATAAAATTGTTTTTTTTTCTAAAATCGACTGAAATAACATCAGAGGAGGTCAAACAATGTGATGAACAACATTTTCTTCTGTTGCAGTATTCGTTGGTTCGTACGATATATTGATTGGATGGATTTTTCGACTTTGTCAAGGCACAACCAATACACATACAACACGTTTTTCTTGAATATTTATGTGACAATTTATAGAGATTATAATAACAGCCTCGGACAGTTATTTTTAACCGACACATAAAAAAGGCTATCGCATTAACAGTCCCAGTTTGGAAGATAGAACTCACTCTTTCTCTTCTTTTGGATTTGCCTCTTCATCGCGTGCTTTGATAAATACACACAAAACCCATGCAAAAAATGTTCCGACTTTTGCTTTTTCGTGTTCTTGACACAGTCGCATCGAAGTTCAATATATTTTCAATAACAATGACGTTCCTATACACGTATATGGACGAAATGTGTTGGTGATTGTTTTTACAATATAATTTTTTTCACATGCAAATTGTATTCAATTGACTGCAACGATTTGGCACTGGTGTGCTTTATAAATTGCACAATTTTAATATTCAAAAAAATATTTACGATTGATCATTGGCGAATAGTGACGAATGAGATATAAAGGTTAAAAAAAACACTCACATTAACTTTTTCAATTAGTAAATTTCCCGAAAACTTAAGCTTATGGCGATCCAGATACATGTAAGTATCACCGTATCTAGCAATTTTATGTATATTCCACAGCATACCTAATGGCAGAACACAATTTCATCAATAATTAGTAAACTTTTATCAGATCTGGTTTTGTAGTTTGCTTATTTCACTCACCGTTCGTCATTAAAACCCCGGCATTGTAATTGATTAGCAACGGTCTCTGCAATCAGATACAAACTCAAAATTAAAATCCAACGAAAATTTATTCATATTTATGCGAATGTTCAAAGTTTTGTGGCCAATTTGAAAATTAGTGTGTACAAAATGCGCGCGCCCCGACAAACATCGCATCAATTTGCACAACATAACTAAATTCAGTGCACGTAATGCAAACACTTAACATATATAACACCATTTTCATTACTCAATAGCGAACATTATTTTGAAAACTGTTTCACTACACAATTTTACGTTCATCAACGCACATATATATATTTTGCCGTGTCGTTGTTCACCCAGAAAACATAAAATTTCATATCAGCAGTTAACAACGCCGTGTGTTTTTTTTATTAACTTTTATTCGTTCGTTTCGATGGATGTTTGCGTGCGCGATCACTTTGTATATGCCACCAACAGCAACAAAAAAAAAGTATGCGAAACGATTACTCACATATGAAAATCCTTCAGATATGTCGGGCAATTTAGTTTGATCCCAACCATTTTTTGTGACCAGCGACCACAACAATTCCAATGCAAAATCAAATAGTTCGTTGATATTTGTTGCTTGCGTTCCTACATCGCCCTCATCATCTCTACGCATCGAATGTATCGGATTCAATAAAATACACAGCAATAAAATAATCCACATTTTGGTTTTGTGTGAAAGGTCATTCATTCAGGAAACATTTGTGAAAATAGAGAGAGAAAAACAAACAAAAAATTCCGATCAAAATACAGATACAAATTTCACAGCTTAGAGAATTTAAAAAGAGAAAAACACAACAATAACAATACAAATCTAGCATTGAAATGGAAACAGTTTACGTTTCTGCTAATCAGAAAGGTCACATTTATCACAATGCTACCAGCTTTTTTTTCTCTTCTGTCGCTTGTCAATGTTCGTAGTTCCTACGCAACAATCAACAGTGAAAAAACAGCAAGGAATTTGCTTAAATCTTTCGATTAATTTGTGTTATTTTTATTTGTTTTTTTTTTCTTTTTTTGCAATTGAACACGCACTCGTAATAATACGCAGAATTGTCGACATCCGATATATTTGGCTGTAATTGTTGTTGTCGCTGGTTGTTATTATTTTGGTATCGTTGCTGTTGCTGCTGCTGTTGATGCGGTTGCCGATATTGATTTTCTGCACGTACCAAATTCATACTGATACCGAACAATATGAAAACGACCATTGGAATCATGTTTTTCTTTCCACTTATCTGGCGTTTGGTCGCGGCAACGGTTACGATTCGTAACACGAATACGATTGATGTTGATGCAGCAGCCGTTAATGTTGTTGTCTCGGCTAATTTGCACAATTTCATTTGTTGGTATTATTAATGATATTTCTACTACGAAATTTCTTCATTTATGACAGAAAAAACTGGATTTTTTATTTCACATTTTTTCGAAGTCGTTTTTAAGAAATAAATTCTGCACTCTTGTGCTCTCCTTCTCTTTCTCTCTTCAAATTTGAATTGCACGTTGGATTTATTATTTCGTCTACTTTGTATACACACTATCAGCTGTGCTACTGGTGCTACTCGTCTTATTTAAAATTTCGTCACTTGCACTCTTTTCCTTTGCATTCAATTCCACAATTTTGCTAATTACAATTACTCTATTTTTGCTTCTCTCTACTTTTCATACACACACACTCTCTCTCTCTCTCTCGCACACACACAGACAATCTCTCAAAATAATTTTCAGATAATTCAATGATTTTTCCTCTGGTGAACGAATTTTTCTGGTTTTTTTTCTTTCTCGACAACAATTTTACTCTGGTCTCGTTGGCAGCATGTACGCACTCTTCATTGCACAATGGTCTTGGAATTTTTGTATGTATGTTGCGTGCAATATGGAACTGTAACAGTTTTGAATGAAAAAAGATAAATAAAAACTAAAAAACACTCAGCCTGACTTTGTTTCGATCGATGTAAAAAGAGAGAAACAAAATAATAGGTACGAATTAATTTTGAGTTCGTTTACAACTAAATCATTTAGCGTGAGCACGTCTCTTAACTACCTGGCGTTTTCCACAGTCTCTCTTGGCCGGTGACGAGATATACATGTATATGATTTTATGTTAGTTGATGTTTTATTTTTCGTTTCGTCTTTCTCATTTGGCTTTGGCGCTCTGTGTGTATGCGTGTTATTGTGGTGGTTTTGTACGACAATATTGTGGACTATGAATTGTAACTTGCTTTGGCGCTCAACCACGCGCGCGATTGTGTTCGTTCATTGACAAATTCCCAATGTATGTTTTTCGTATCCAAATAATCATACGGTGTGTATGCCGTGACAACATCTGAATAATACATACATCGCGCATAAACGCGCGTACAGCACTCACCTGTAGTTTTCTTTGCGTTTGTTTGATTGTTGTTTCAATCGGTACAGCCACTGCTTTCGTATGTCTCTCTTTCTCGATGCGTATGTGAGATTGTGCATGTTTTAGTGACGATTGTCGTCACTGATCTCAGAAAGGAAAAGAGAGACACTTGGAATTCGAATTTAAATGGAAAGATACGCGAAGAAACGAACAAAAAAGTGTCTCTACGAGTGTAATTGTGAAAGAGGTAAACATGACCGGCCAACAGGTAAATAGAAAGGGAAACCAATACACGCTCTAGTCAATTATCAAAAAGACGCTTGCGCATGCTCACATTCGAATGCTACAAGTATACATGTATTCCATTAAGATTCCACCGTTTTTTGTTTCACTTGTTTTTTTTTTGTTCACGTAAAGAACCTTGATCTGTACCGCAATTGTGCCTGTGTAAATGTACAATTTCATGCAAGTCTTACTGTAATTGTTGTATATTTTCTTTTTCAGTCACATTTATTCTGGTGTTTACTGTTTGCCTGAATCAAGCATCCCATTCTATCTTTCGTCCACGTTTGTCGTCGCACGAACCTGGATTGATTCGTAATGCTCGCGCGTCTTATACTTTAAACAAATTAAATACTTTATGCGAGATGCTACGAATTGTGACACAAAATTGTATGGTATGTCGATACATTATAATAAGACAACTAACATGATTCTTGAATTTTTTAATTTAATTCAATCGAAACAAAAGATTACATTCGAACAACTGAGATTTAATGACTATATATGTGGAATTGTGATGCAAATGCAATCAGATGAGAATTATAAAAATAAATCAAGTTTTATTCCATTAAGAGAAGAAAAAAGCAACGAGAATCATGAACCTGAAGTAATTCAATAGATATTTTTGAGGTGAACCAGTTTTTAGTTTATTTCTTTCTACTTGTCTCAGAACTTGGAATAATGCGTCAGAAACGGCGAATCTCACATTATTGCGTCCGTACTCAAAATACAGTATAACTACTATAAAAGTAAAATGAACTCTACATCTACGACGAAGCCGAAGAAATTCAACAAATTCCACTTACTTGGCGACTATCACATGCAAAAATGAGTATTTTTTAAGCCGAGGGGCGCAGTAATAAAATGCCACCAAAAAAAACGAAGTCATTTCAATGTGAGAAACAAGTTTCAGCTGTTTCGCCTACAAGAGAACAATGCATAACAATAGAGATAAATGTAATTGTATTGCGTTTTGACGGTCATCAATGTAGCGAATTTTTATTTATAATATCGGTATAAAAAACCTTAAACAGTAGTAAACAAAAGATTCCAGATTTCTCATGTGCATACCCACTGAAATGTAATAACGGCGCTTTTTTTCGAAAATGATGTCGACGTCGACGACGATTCACAATTGATAGGTCAATTTGTTTAACTTCAGTGCGATTCTGGGAAGTTTCCATAAAATTTGTTTTTTGCATGCAAATAATCGCCCCCAAAGTCATTCCTCTCTTCCTCTGTCAAAAAAAATGTAAATAATTTCTATTTACAATTGATTTACGACTGAATTAGGTGGCAGATAATCGACGCGCAGATTTTTGAAGTTTGTGGTTTTTCTGCCACCACCAATAGAAAGGTGAATCAAATGACGCATAGTATGATGTTTGTTAATTACCGACCAAAAACAATAAAAACCAAACAACCTGTTCTATTATTTGAAGATGTCATAAGAATGAGCAATCAGTTTTTGTTCTTTGTATTCATTCTTCGTTTATTTCTTGAGCATTTTTATGTGTTGCTCTTTTGATAGAGAGCTCGCTTTGTAAAATTGTAATTCAAATGCGGTGCTATATTCCAGTGACAAACATTTTGACAATATCAACTTTTGACAATGGAAAATGACAGAAACACCGAATAATTGTTCTTAACCAAACAAATACGCTTACAATCTTTGGTTTTTATAGAACAAAAACACCGAGACTCATAAAAGACAAAGCGACAAATAAAAATAGCCGGAGTGACGCAATGCTCAAACTCCTCAATACAAATGAGATTGTATTTGTTTGACACGGCAACAGTAACGGCATCACAAAAATGGAAATCTATTCAAATGCGCGCGCTTTTTTCTTATTTGAAATGAAGAGAAAAAAGAGAGAGAACGAAACAAGTGTTCTCTCTTTTTAATGCAGAGCACTTTATACGAAAATGATATAGCGAGCGTGGTTGAGTAGCAAATGAATGCAAAGCAACAATATAACAACTTCTGTGGTAAGAAACACATAATTGTGCGCACATTCAAAAGGAGTTTTTTTTCTCTCTGCATCTCTCTGTCTCTTTTGTGGATTGTAATTAGACATTTTGCTTACGTGCGAAGATAATTTCTTGCCCATACAAAATGGATATTTCTGGCACGAAATTAATACATGTGTGTTTGCATAGAACATGCTCATTTGATTAATTTGCAGTTTTTTTTCTTTCATTCGTTCGTTTTGCTCATTGTATTTGGTTCTTTTTCCTTTTGCTTACAGATAAACCGATTTTAACAGGTTATAAATGTGATGCGAAAAACCTGGTGTTAAACATATTCTCTACATTTGAAAGAAAAAATATAATAGGCATTTATGAGCAGAAATTCCGCTTCCTGAACGTCTTTTTAATTATCCTCCACTTACATCGTATATTACATATACCAAAATGAATGTGATTCGGGAAACGAAGAAGAAGAAAAAGAAATACAGAATAAAAAAACCAGTCAGGAATCGTCATTAATTGTGATTGCTCACTCAATTGTTATGTGAACAATTAGTAACAACTTTTCATTCATCAGACTCACATTTCGATGTCTGACTTTTGACACAAGAGATTAGACAAGGTAATGAACAAAAATCCACCAAGAGTGTCTATTCATTCAATGGAAATGCTTTTATATTAACAGTAAGCAGGAAATGTTGTTTTGACGCCGAACATTTTATGCAAAATCATTTTGTTTTTTTGAACTTTTGAATTGAAAATGGCTATCTCTATCTCTCAATTGAGTCGGGGCGTGTTGGGTCTGAGGGTGAAATCGTTGACAGGTGAACCAACAATAACTCTTTGTGTGTCGGCCAATTTTTCATTTGTTCAAGACACAAAAGGTCAGTGTAAAAAATGATTAACAGACACTAGCCAAAGTACACACACATCGCATCGCGTGTAATAAGTTGTCCGATTTCGTTTTGAATTTGTGTTATACCTAACGAAAAATGGTACGGTACATGATTTTCAGCACGTCTGCTCTATATGAATGACATGAATGATCATAAGCACAGTTAACACTTTACATCATGTGTGTTTGGTAATTCGTGTGAAAATAGCGCGTGCGCATAACATGTAATTATTATTACTAAATGGTACACGGAAAGCAAAACGTACCATTTTTCGGATGCAAAAAATGATAATAAAAATCATTTATTGCCTTAAAATGGTGCGTGCTCATTCCGCAACCGGTTGACAATGCTAATGATGATAATAATAATAATAGTTCCGCATAAATGCAAGTGACATTTTATTTCACAGCTAGATAAATTATAGATGTGTTAATTGTCATCCTTTTGCTCTTCAATGTACAGAAAAAAACTGCTAACATTACAACGTGTCATACATGGAAGAGCCATAAAACAACATATTTGAAACAATTCATCGAATTGGCAATTTTAAACATTTATAACTTCAAAATGTGCAATGATAAAAATGCATTACTTCGTACTCGTTGCACATTTTATGAACTTTCTCTTCCCATCTCATCAACGCTCTCATTATCTGCGTCAAAGGCATCAAACGAATTTGCTAGTAGCATGCCATTTTTTTAGCATAAGGAAAATGTAACAAAGACTAATTCACACGATGACACCTTTTATGAGAAACACAGCACATGTTCAACGCCAGATATTCAGATGCCGAACGACATTTGTTTTATGAAACGAGAGCGGGTGACGGGATGAAATATGAACGATGCAAAAATAGTTATCGTTATCAAACATTTTGCTTTTTTTCTCTGGTTATAAAAGCCTTTTTTTGATATGCCAGCGCATAAAAACGAATGACTAACATCAACACAAAAGTACAGTCATCATCATGATTATTTTGAACGATTTGGAGCCCCGTAAAATGTCACATTCAAAAGAACAACAACAACGACGACGACGATGAATATAGCGCTTGAAATAAAAACACACGCAGATGAATACATGAATGCACAAAATCCTGTGAATAACTATATATCCGTAATGCTCGTAAAAAGCAATCATCTCAAAAACGAAAATCCAGTATACGACAAAGAGAGAAAAATTAATTACAGCACAAAATATTCCATGCTCTTTCAGCAAAAAGACGTCAACAGCAACAACAAATGATAAAAAACGATAAAATTTGAGCTCTGTAACTGAAGAGGAATGAAGGAAAAAAATAATAATAATAATGTGACTATCTAACGAACAAAACACCAAGCAAACGAAATATATATTTATTTATTTTTTCATACATGATAATATTCATTGGTTTTATGGTCTGACATGGAAATATATGATGTATAAATGCCGTGTCAGAGAGTGAATGACGATGCTGTGTACCGCGTAGATGTTCAAAATGCTATACGGACTGCCTATATCTCGTAAACACCATGTACAGTTTAGAATAAGAAGCCAAGTTTGCTGAATCCAACGGCCAACACTGAATGAAAGAGAAAAAAAGCGCAAAACATCAACAGCGATAGAAGTGAGCGTGAGAGAGACAGAGAGAGGGAAAAAAATCACCATCAGCAACAAAATAAATAGCGACAA